TAAGAAAGATAAGGAAACACTTTTTACCAAGGCTTGTAGTGAGAGGAAAAGGCAACATCTTTAAACTGAAAAAAGAGAGCTTTAGACTAATTAAGGAAGAAATTTACTACAGTGAGCGTGGCAAGAGACTTGCTCAGAGAAGTTGTGGATAACCAATCACTGGAAGTGTTCAAGACAAAGTTGGATGGGGAACTGAGCAGCCTAATCTAGTGGAGGATGTCCCTGTCCATGGCAGGCACCTTCAGACTAGGCCCCTTTAAAAGTCCCTTCCAATCCTAACAATCTTAGAGTTTGAATCTTTATTATAGATTTTATGATTTTATTTTTACCATCTAGATTAGCTGCTGGACATATTGTCTCTATCTGCACAGTGTGTTAGAACACCTGCATGAAAAGATCAACTTCATATGAAGCACTATCTTCTGATGATTCCACACCTGTCACTAAAACAAGTGTTTAAGGACACCAACAATGGCAACAGACCAAGAACCTTACTACATTAAATCCAAATCTCTCGGTTAGAGTTGTTCTCATAATATAGCACTGCTAGAGAGGGAAAATGTACTGATGTTGTCTCACAAACCTTCCCAATGCCATTGAATGGCAATGGCAATGGCAATTACATATATTGTAATAGAAAATAATGTTTAATCTTTTCTTTTAACAACTATTTATCATCTATGGGTTTGGGTTTTTTTGTTGGTTTTTTTTGTTTGTTTATTTTTTTTGTTGACTTTTTTCCCTTTTAAATGTTTAGATTTACCCTGCAAAATTGACTTTTTCTTCTATTAGCATCACACTCCACCAAAGTATTTTTGAAAGTAAACAAAAATAGAATTGTTACTCTGAAGCAAATTTCTAAGCAACTCTATTCAACAAGTCCTATAATATTGTGCCCATTTTTTTTCTGAACCTTTTCAGCTAGTTAATTACCTCTTCCATGCTATGATTAATAAGTTTTATAAGCAATGTATGAGTGCATGTCTGTACAACTCCATTTGAAAAACAATACTTAGTAACGGAAAAAGATTTTTTCCAGAAAGGTGTATCTTGGAGGGTAAATGATATAAACCAGAATGAAAATATTTATGCCTAAGAAATTGTTACTGGACTAAAATTCAAGTTAACAGTTCATGTACTTGATAAGGAATACAAAAATGGTACGTCTTTCATCTTGCAAAAGAAAGGGTACCCTGGTAAATAAATTTACTAAAGAAACAATGTCAATGCAAATATGTGAAATATGTGTGTATCGTCATGCAGTGTGTCTAGGTTTAATTGCATATGTAAATATGTGTTTCAGCATTGAAGAATTCCTTTTGCACTGAAGTTCTGTTGTACAGCAGACCAAACAGGAAGGCCAAAATATTCTAATTTCTAATGTCATGTGCACTGTCTGCCAGCTGCTATACTCATTATTACGTACAGGCCACAGCATTATATGCTAGACTAGTTTGCTATTTCATTACTAATTCCTTTATGCATCCTTTAGAGCAGCAATTAAAAGGTGGGCCTTCAGCATGCAAGAGCCAACTATTTGAACCATAATCACAACATATTTTATCCTCTGTGCTGGAGGCTGTGCAGTGATTTGGAAGTTAAGTCCTTGTGCAATCTCTTAAGATTGCCTCAGAGGCAGGGGAGACTAATTTGCAAGTATCTTTTTGCAAATATTTTTGGACACACAAAAAGAAAGAGCAGGGTAATCTTAAATTTCTAATTCAATTACTAATTCTTTGTTATATTTGATATCTGTGGAAAAAAAGAAAAAAAGAGAGAAAACCATTTGTCTTACCCTTTTTGTAAGTAAGTAAATCTTAGTGTAGTAAAGTCTAGTAATTGATAGATCTGTCTTCTTTTATCTGGTTGTCCTTTATTAAACATAAGATTTTTGTTATGTGCAGAGCAGTCTGTGAAGATATCTTGTCAAAGTTGACCATTTATTCATAGCCAACCTATAGCAATTCTTAGTAAGAAGCTCTTCTAACCACTAACCCCCACTTCCCTATAAAGATTTCAACAAATGTTTTTATTCTAGCTAACAAAGTATGATTGAGATGAAGGAATGGTTGTTTAAAAAACAGAGAATTTATGAGTTTTCTGAAAAATTTTGTTTAAGATTTATTTAAAATCTCCAAAAAAATAGCAGGAGAAAAAGTTACCTCTCTCGATTATTTTAATTAGCATGAACATTTTATAAAAATGTGAAAAACCTCTCATCTATGCATGAAGACATGCACATTTGCATTTTTTTTACAAAATTTATTTACCGAAGTATTTAAGATAAATTCTTTAAAAACAAACTCAAATTTCTCTAGCACCGCTTGTGTTCCTTAAGCCTTAATTTCTCTGTACAAGTAGTTAATTCATGCCCTGGAGAGCAAGAACTTAAATGAGTCGGAAATTTATATTTTATATAGTCTAAAAAGACCAGATGTATAATTTTTAATTCATAAAACACCACCACAAACAACTCTGCCATAAAGAAAGAATTTAATATGAAACATGAACATAGGTGTGCAATTATTTGGTCATTAATGAGGAATTCTATGGCTAAATAAAGTGTAGTAAGAGAATTCAAATAATTATTCATTAATATTGCATCACAGAAATTCCTCCATGGTAATTTTATGCATATTAGAATTTTATGCACAAATAGAACTGAAGAAACCTTGCCTCAAATTAAATTCTACTTTGTGGAGTGTAAAATGGAAAATTATTCAGTTTGCTTGAACACTAGAATGAGCGCTATCTTGGTGTTTCAGTGGGAAACAGCAACTCATCACATGGTAAAAACATACAGCAAAAATTTGAACTAGGTCCCGGATAACTAATTGACTTGACAGTTCAAAGCTGCAACGAGAGCTCTCAGGAAGATGAAATGATTTAGAGAGTATTATTAGATGGCTGCAGGTTCCTGAAGATGCATGAAGAAACAAAAATAATATTGTTGACATTTACAGACCCTGCTTGCCGTAAATTGTATTAATACACAAACCTCTGCATCCACCTACAAAAACAGTTACTGTGTGAAGATCACACTGCTCTTTTTTACCCTTATCCATAACATAAGCTCTCCTTTTCCCACATCAGTTTAGGATCTCAATACCTTCTTCTATACAAAACAGCAACTGTATTATTATATATTACGTACTACATAACCAGTCATTAGCGAGCATTAAAATAAATTCTGACTTCCTTTCAAATCTTGTTACCTCTCTGAAAAGGCAGTTTATTCCTCCCAAGTAAACCTTTAATGTATGTGGCCCTTCTTCTTAGTAGAATGCCAGACTAGCAACTATGGATCTTTGGAATAAACCACCAGCAATAAAGAATTTCAGAATAAAGAATACACAATATAGAAAATGGATTTTAAGGGTTCATCAAATACATCAGCTTTTTTATCCACACAATGTACATGCAATTTTGTCTCCTGGTCGTAATTCAAAACTGTCTTTTATACTGTTTAAAGTAGCAGTGCTCTTGTATTGTCTGATCACTTGTATCTCATGTCACAGTACAATTGACATGAAGGCACTCTGGCCCTAAGTCTCCTAGATTTTCACTCAGAGAATGCCCCTAACCTAACAAAAGCTGGAGAAGAACAGGGCTCTGAAATTAATCTTTCCCAGAGGTCTATAACGATCACCATTAGGTCAGAAACCTGCTCAGACTTTGGCCAGCAATTCCTATTTCAAGCTCTCCAGTTGCCTGCCATTATGCCCACGATTCAGAATTGCTGAACACAACTAATGACAACAACCAACTCTCAGTCAGAAGTGTTACCATAAAAGTGATCAGCATATGTTGACAAAAATTGCAAAAGAAAATGAACTACTCTTTCCAAATAATGCATGACAGGGAAGGATATTATGTCATAGTGAGCAATATTTTGGTTTTGCAGTTCTTTTCTCGATCTTTATCTGCAAAAGAAAATAGTAAAAAGGAGTATGTATGATGTCTAAACTTGAGAGTGTTGCTAAAAATGTACACCTATAGGTCTGATTAACAGCTTGTTCAAGCACGTTTTTCTATTTAACTAAATGGCATTTGGGGAGCAAAACATCTCATAGCAGTGTGTTAGCATCAGTAAGTGGTGTATATTTTTATTTAACTTTTGAATCTTCATAGCTTATCCTTAGGTCTATATTAATAGTATTTACTAGGAGGAAAACAGAATCACTAACATCCCCATATTGTCATGTTGTAATATGTCTGTAAATATCAAATTCAGGAAGCTAAACAAATGTACTGGAGGTAATTCATGCCCTTGCTTTTCTTTCTCATTGAAAGGACAATTGGAATTAACATAACTATGGTGGAATTATTTTCTTCAAATCTCAGCATTAATATAATTGAGAGAAATATGGTGTGGGGTTTTTTTTTTGGTTGGGTTTTTTGTTTGTTTTGGGGTTTTTTGTTTTGTTTTGTTTTTAATTCGTGCACTTGAGAGGGATCAATCTGATTTTTATTTATGCCTCAACATATGTTATGGCGGAGGATTCCTACAGGGGCTGTACCCGTCACGGGAGCCTTGTCCCCGGGGCGGCTTCGCCGGCTGACAGCCGATCAGAGCAGAGAAAGCCTCCGTGATCGGACTGCAGACATCCCCCTCCCACTTGCCGGTGGTGTAGATGCCCAGATGTCCGGGAAAAAATTCCCGGGAAACCGGGCTACGGGAGAAGTCTTGGCACCAAAAGCGACACAACGGGAGCCATTTTCTGTGGGTTTCTTGGAAAGAGTGGGGGCTCGCCTGTAGGGTCAGCTCGGCCCCTCTCCCCCGCCCGCCTTTTCCTTTCTGCGGTCCTGCTTCCCTGTCCTGCCCGGCTTCGCCGTTCCCGCGAGGCACTTCATCACTGGCACTACCCGGTGCTCCGCTGGCTGCCCTCACGGAGCGGGCGCTGTCTGCACCCCGCCGCCACCGCCATGTTCCCACACCGCCCGGCAGCAGCCTGCAGCACCACCCGCGGCACCCAGCCCGCGGCCGCCCTGCTCCAGCCCTGACAGGCCGCCCGCGGCTGCTCCAAGAGCGTGTCCGTAGGCATGGCAGCCTGTTCTTCGGCAACAGCAGGGACACGCAGCCCGCTGCGGTTTGGAAATCGCGCCCAGCCGCCATGCACCGCGGTGTGCAGCACGCACGCTCCGCCTGCTGAGCTGACGCTGAAAGAACCCAGGGCTCTTGAGGTAAGATTGTCCCTGTCTTCTCTTGCCCCTTTTCCCTCTGCTCTCTTTTCTACCCTACTTGGGTAGGAGCACTTACACTTCTTTATCAATAAACAATTCTCAGATACAATGTTGTCGCATTTGCGCTTCATTTTCATCTGACGAATCTATCAAAAAAAATACTCCCCGACCATTTCTTTTACAGAGGCACGGGACAGCACTTCGTGATGAAAAAAAATTCTCTGTAGTATAATTTGAGTACAATTAATATGTTGACAGATGCAAACAGAACCAAAGGTACTGTTAGATAACCCTTCCGCTGAAAGAGTATTTTAATTACGATTATTTTTGTCAGCGTTTAGAGGAACGGGATAAAAGTGAAATCCTGTGTTGCACGCAGAATCCTCTTTTCCTTTTCAAGGTTTAGGAGAAAACAACTAAATCCTTAAGTTTTACTATTTTCGTAATAAAAGGTTTTCTTCTCTCTACTTTCCTCTTCTCCTGGGAGTTCGCATTTTATCAAGGTTTGGAGGAGGAGGACCAGGATCAAAATAGCTGTAATGTACATGGGGACCTAGTTTGACAAGAATTTTGAACACGAAAATCAAAGCCTCTGTATTTAACAAGAATGAACAGGCACAATTTGATATGAACCACATAAAATACCTGTATTTAAGGTAGAAACCTACAGATTTATTTAGTTAAAATAAGAACCAGTATGTATCCCTTTGAAAGATTTCTGGAATGGAAGTACTTAACAAAAAAACTCCCTCTAGGAATGAAACCAGCGGAAAAGAGACGGGGAAATGAGAACTGATGAAAAGCACCAGGGCACAGTGAGATGTTGTACAGAAATAACTGTCTACATAAGAAAAAACACAGTAGGATTAAAGGATTGAAGGTGATCACTTAATACTTTAGCTTCTGCCGTGATCCTTAAGTGCAGCTTCAGCTGAAGCTGGTAACTCCAAAATGCCCATTTTTATTCCCTCTATTTATCTGGACAATAAAAGGTTTTTGAAGTCTGGGACATTCCCTGCAATTTGTTTCTGTGAAACATGCTGCAATCTTACTGTGTGTACTGGGCGTGTGTGAACAGACGCAGGACAGCAGTGTCAGCTAATTGAGATGGTGCTGGCTGACAGGAAATTGGCAAATATGATGCCCATCTACATGAAGGACCAGAAGGAGGATGCAGAGAGCTGCAGGCTTGTCAGTCTAACCTCATTCAGTGACAGATAAGATCATGGAACAGATCATCCTAAGTGCCATCAGGCAACACATGCAGGACAACAAGAGAATCAGGGCCAGCCATCAGGGGTTTGAAGAAGGTAGGTCCTGCTCGATCAACATGATCTTTTGAGACAAGGTGACCCACCTTGTGGATGAGGCAAAGGCTATGGATGTAGTCTGCCAGTAGTGAAGACTTTGACACTCTTTCCCTCAACATTCTTCTGGAAAAAAGTGGTTGCCCATAGTTTGGACTGATGTAATCTTTACTGGGTAAAAATTGACTTAATGACTGGCCTGGAGAGTAATAATGAATGTAGTAGGTGGTTCGTCACCAGTGGTGTTACCCAGAGCTCAGTACCAGAGCCAGCTCACTTTGGTGTCTTAATTACTGATCATCTGGGCAAGGGGATTGAGTAACCCCTCAGTCAGTTTGCAGGTGACACCTAGCTGGTTAGAAATACTGGTCTGCTTAGAGTGTTGTATGGGTCTGTAGAGGAATCTGAAAAGGCTGAATTAAGGGACCAAGGCCAGCTGTATGCTGTTAGAATCATAGTGAAGGGTTATGGTTGGAAGGGACTTTAAAGATCATGTAGTTCTAAGACTTCTGCAATGAGCAGGGACAACTTCTACTAGACTGACTCACTCAGAGCCCCATCCAGCCTGGTCTTGAAAGCCTCCATGGACAGAGAGTCCACAACTTCCGTGGACAACCCTGTTTCAGTTTGCTTCCCTCCCTCACAGTAAAGAATTTATTCTTAGGACCTAAACTAAACCTACGTTCCTTCAGCTTGAGGCCATTCCCCCTTTTCCTGTAACTACATGCTCTTGCGAAAAGTTCTTTTTGCCTTCCTTGTAAACCCCCTTTAGGTACTGGAAAGATTCTAAAGAGTCCCCAGAACCTTTTCTTCTTCAGGCTGAATAGCCCTAACTCTTTGAACCTTTCTTCTTAGGAGAGGTCTTCCACCTCCAATCAAATGAGTATCTTTCTTCTGGACTTGTTCCAACAGGTAGTGTCTTCCTTGTGTTGGAGGCCCCAGAGCTGGAGACAGTACTCTTGGAAGGGTCTCACAAGAGAAGTGTAGAGGGGGAGAATCACCACCCTCTGTTTGCTTTCATGGCTCTCTTAATGCAGCCAAGGACATGGCTTTCTGGGATGTGAGCACATGCTGTTGACTCATGTTGAACTTCTTGTCAACAAATATGCTCAAGTCCTCCTTGCCAGGGCTGTTCTTTATCCATTTTCTGCCCAGCCAGTACCTGTGCTTGGGATTTCCCTGATAAAGGTGCACTGCATTGTACTTCACCTTGCTGAACTTCCTGAGGGTCACACAGGCCCATCTCTCAATCCTGCCAAGGTCCTTCTGGATGGCAACCCAGCCTTTGATATTGACTTCACCATACAGCTTGGTGTCATCAGCAAACTTGATGAGGGTGCACTGAATTCCACTGTCCATGTTGCACCAAAGATGTTAAAAAGTGTTGGTCCCAATACAGACTCCTGAGGAATCACTAATTGTATTTCAAGCCGTTGACTAAAACTCTTCAAAAGATTCAGCTGATTTTTTTTTATCCACTGAGTGGTCCATCTGTCAGGTCCACGTCTCTCCAGTTTAGAAAGAAGGTTGACACACAGAACACTGTCAAATGATTTGTACTGTTCAGGTAGATGACTTTTGTTACTCTTCCTTTGTCCGCCACTGTGGTAACATCCTTATAGAAAGCCACCTAATTTGTCAAGGATGATTTGCCATGTGAAAACACGCTGGTGCAATCATCTCCTTACTTTTCTTGTACCTTAGCACAGTTTCCAAAAGGAACTACGGTATGATCTTGCCAGACACAGAGATGAGTACTACTAGCCTGTAGTTTCGTGTGTCTTCCTTATTTCATTTTTAAAAATTCGGTATTATATTTCTCCTTTTCCTTTCAGTGGGAATTTCACTGCAATGCCAAGACTTCTCAAATGTGATGCATAGCCACTTCTTCAAATAGTTACCCCCGGACCCATAGATGTATCTCCTTCAGTTCCCATGAACTTTGCAACTTCAGGTTCCTGAAACTAGTCTCCAGCCCAGTCTTTTCCTTCAGTGGATGGTTCTTCATTCCCCCTTTTCCTTCCTTTTACGTTCTGCATATGGGTGGTGTGGCTTCCTGGTGAAGTGAACACTTCCTGGTGAAGACTGTAGTAAAAAAAGTTGTTGAGTACCTTGGCCTTCCCTATGTCCTTGGTAGCCAGGTCTCCTTCACTGATCCTGAAAAGACCCATGTTCAGTAGATTCAACAAGACCAAGTGCTGGGTCCCGCTGCTGGATCACAACAATGCCAGGAGAAGCGTGGGGGCAGAGTGGCTGGAAACCTGAGCCAGTGTATGGCCAGTTGGGAAAGAGGGCCAACAATGTCCTAGTTTGTTTTAGGAATATTGTGGCCAGCAGGTCCAGGGCAGTGATTGTCCCTTTGTAGTTGGCGATGGTGAGGCTGCACCTCAAGTGCTGTGTCCCATTTTCCCACTACAGGAAAAACACTGAGTTTCTGGAGCATGTCCAGAGAAGGGCAATGAAGCTGGTGATGGATCTGGAGCACAAGTTCTGTGAGGAGTAGCTGAGGGGCCTGGAGGGAGAAATGGATACTGGTGGGGGTGGGGGGGGCCTTACTGCTCTTTACAACTACCTGAAAGAAGGTTGTAGTGAGGTGGAGTTCCATCTTTCCTCATAAGAAATGAGTGATAGAGGAAGAGAAAATAGCCTCAAGTTGTGTCAGGGGAGGTTTACACTACATATATTAGGAAAAATTTCTCCACAAAAAGGATTGTCAAACATTGGAATGGGATGTCCTGGAAACTAGCTGAATCTCTCTGCTCCAAGATACTTAGAAGATGTGTAGATGTAACACTTAAGGATATGTTTTAATGGTGGTATTGGCAGTGCTAGATTAATGGTTGAAATAAATGATCACAGAACTCTTTTCAGCCCTAAGCTTTTCTATGATTCTGTGGTAGAGTTTAGAACATGTGAGGCTGACTGAATATAGGAATAAGCCCATCCTTGCGATAACAGCTGAATCTTTTGAACTTGCTGTTGTTATACCATGTTAAAGCTGTATTGTTGCTGGGATTTTTTTGTTTGTTTGTGGTGTGATTTTTTTTTACTTTATCTCCTTCTCCTTTTCCTCACTGAAAGGAACTTGGAAGAAAGATGTGAGAAGAAAATGTCATCCATTAGGAAACAATGTTGGTTTAAACAAAATATCATGTTCTACTGTTTAAATGCCGTGTTTAAAACTTTGTTTTAAATTGGCATAAAATTATTTATTCTGCAAGTTTTTTGACTTTGCCAGTCCCAGAAAAATTAAGGAAAACAATTCAATGTCTTAATAATGTATGTACTATATAAAGGTTCAGAACATTATTAGCTCTAATGAAAGAGTAACTAATGGCATATAAGTCCTTGTTTTTTTGAGGGAACCAAAAGTAGAAAAGCTGAAAGATTGTTAGAAATGACCTTTGATTTTAAGAACATGTAATTCTGTTTGTTTTAAAAGAATACAAATGCATCATTTTTCACTTTTTGGGTATTTATCTTGCCCTTTAAAGGCCAGCTAGAGAGTGGAGCTAAAGTTCATGCCTAAAATGAAATCTGAGTATCCATTATGAACCACACATTTCCTTGGCATTGATTTTGAAACAGAAAAGATTACGAAGCAGCAACAACAGCAAGCAGCATCTGTACCAGTTGCCAGTACAAAGAAACAGTAGAGCTCACAATATGCACGTGCACTCGCACACACACATAAACACGTGTATTTAACAGGCAATAAATGTAGACTTAAAACTTCTTACTACCTTCTGATTCCCACTAAGATAATTAGAAGACTGAGTGTTGGAATGTTTTACACATAAAACACAGTTTTGAAAAGTTTTCTGGTAGTTCCATCAGCTGTCTAAGTAAATGTAATGGAGAATGTAGAAACAATATTTTTCTCCTCCTCCCCCACTTGCTATCTGTTTCAAGACAGTTCTACAACAACAAGCAAAAGCAGTGTAAGAAATATGCCAATCCTAACTTCTAAACAACAAAAAAAGTCTTCATTATGTATGTGCTACCAGATAATTGTTAGCAAAAATATTGTTTGGAAAATCCGACAATATTTTTGAGGAAGTGAGAGAAAATTTACCTCCTGAAGCTCAGCAGACTCTAGTCATACCTTGATTTTCTGTTTTCATATGTAAGATGTTCAGATATTTCTCCACATACTGCTTGAATTACTGTTTTAAAAACATGCTTTGAAGAAGAGTTCCTGACGTAACTTGGGAGAAATATTCTTGGATGTATTTAATCTTCAAAATGTGATAAATTTTTGTATTCCATTAAGTATTTTGAAATAGTAGCAGCAATAAGATAATTACATGGAATCCTAGGAATAAATACCATTTGATATACTCTAAAATGTACCTGAAAATTAAGAGTAGTTGGTGCTGAATATTCAGAGAAGCAATTTCTTTAGGAGATGAAATTGTTTTCAGCAGCTCAGTTATGCGACACCATGCTGATATGCATTACCAAATTTAATAAAAACATTGCAAAGATTGTAATTTTGAAAATAATTTTTTTAATGAAATTATAATTTAAAAAATATAGTGTTTAGGCAGGAAATACCATTCACATACATATGAATAAGCAAATGCTATGCAATTTTAAAATTCCATTTAGTTTTGCAAACTATTTAACTGTGTGGACACGTGGGAAAAACTCGTAGCCCAAAAGTTATTTATACATCATTTAAGACTATTCCAATTTCAGGCCTTGTTTAATTTGGTATATGTACCAAATGCTAATGATCAGTTTTAATGTTAAGATATAATTTCTGCTGTGGTGCAGCATTTATTAAGCACTTGGACAAGGACCCTTTTCTACTGTAAGAAATGAACTTCCCACACTGCAGCAATCAAGACACCTGCATCCACTTCACCCATCCTAATGCGACCGTAGCAGCACTACGGAGCATGGGAGGTGTGCAGAAAAGCCAGGTCTCATCTAGAAAGTGTGTGCCTCTGCTAGCAAGGCACAGCCTGTAAGCTAACAAGCCCTGTCTCTTCTCAGAGCTCAGTTGCTGAGGCAATGCTGCCTGAACGTGCTATTCCACTTCTATAGCCAAACGAGTTCACCAGTATGTCACTGCACCATGCCTGTGATGGATGTTTCTGCCATTACATGTTATCTCTGACACTGTGACCCACTGGGCACTGTAAACTTGCCACCATTTTGGGGAAGGTTTCACTGTGAAATAGTTGCCCATTTATTTGAAAATGAGTGACTTCACCTCTTTCAAGAAAGAGGTGTGTTTCACAATCATAAATGATATCCAAGGCTTTTATTCATTAATATCAACCCTGGCATATATTTAAGGTTCAGTTTCTGTAAGATTAAGACTGTCTATAACTAAGTTTAAAAGGACTTTTTTACCACCATCTTATATAATTTTTCCTTAAATAATGCATGTGAGATGTAATGCCTGTGATGAAAGTGAGACATTGAACATAAAGTAATCCTTAAAATTCTTTCCTCAAACCCTTGCACTAACATTAGGTTTGCTGAGAATCTAGAAGGTCTGAATGAACTACTATATGAACTTCTTGTTGGCAAATTCTTTAAAAATCATTCAGGATAGGGGAAAAATCTTAAAGTATTGAACACTTCCTTTATGAAAGCTATTTTACAAAAAAATCTACTAGAGATATGGGTTGAATTTAAAAAAGAGAAAAAAAAAAGCCTGATCCACTGAGTTTAGTACTTATGTGTATAATTGTAATTAGACACACACAATGACATATTTAATCAGTCTTTTAATAATTGATGCAAACAGTGCAGTATTTCTTTAACTTCAAGAAGGTCTTTTGACATACTAACATCAATAATTATAGGAGGTCAGAGCACAGGAAGTATTCCATATGGCATGCATAATTTATAGTGTAATACTACTGTAGATGTATTCCTTCAAATTCTGTGTGGATAATAACTGCACTATGTTATGAGATCTTGTTATGGCTCTCATATTGCTAATGTTAAGGTTATGATTGTTTAGGAATTGAAGGTCATGCTTTTATTCACAAATGAAAGACAGCCTTCTAATCATGGCTGTGAATTATTCCTTTGTTTTCCAAGGACATTCACTTTCTTCTAAATAGAAAGCTTTTAGCTAAAACATAAAATCATACTAAGAGTCAGAGTTAGGACCTGAGAATGATACTGTCTTGCTAATTTTGAGTCTTAAACAAAATATGTCACGTATGACAAACCTAATGCCTAACCACTTTCCTTCAGAGACCAATATATAAGCTACATTTTAAAGTGACTCACAGAAACCAAGTGAAAAAGAAATTCTGTGCATCAGAAGAAAAAAAATTAAATGAAGAAATACATGTTTTCAGTGATAAGGATATGTCTGTCTCTTTCTGTATATGTTCTGAAATAGTGTAAGTAAAAAGAAGGTATCAGGAAAAAGGGAATAAAGGGAAGGCATAGGTAATGACAGAATAAGCTGCCTGTAAATGTGCATTAAATCTGGTCCATTTTTTTTTTTTCTGTGGTTCATTATTCATTTTCAGGCAGCATTCCCAACAGTAATCCTAAACAGGATGTGGTCCTGAGTGGCACCAGGAGAGCAACCATGACATCATGAAATCACTGCTGCTTTGATTGTTCCTCATTGATTCACTAAAAGACTAATACCCCTGAGCCTCCAAGCCAAGCTGTGCAGCATAAGGGATGCAGAGGTTAGTGTATTTCCGATCTCTCCTCGCAAGAAATTAAAACAAAGAGCATGAGATCAACACAGCATACCACATAAAATTCTTGCTAATTAATTTTGAAATAATGCTTGACATGAGACAACCACTGTCCTCCCTTTTGCCCCCTTTGAAGTCCAACAAACCCAATTTCTGAGGTTTCACACCAGCAAGTTTTATTGAAATCCACCTTGAAACTGTCCCTTCACTATTCACACTTTTAACTGTTAAAAACACAAACACTAAACAAAACACCCACTAAGTTTTGTTCTTTGTTTGAATTTGATCTTTTAATCTGTTTCATTTTATATAAAGATTTTATCTTGTCAGTTATATTCTTCTGAGTGATGCTGACCCCCTAAATGCATTTATAAATAGTACATTTATTCAGTATATATGTAAAGGATTTCTTAACCTTTCAGTCTTTATTTTAATGAGTCTAACAAGCCAGTACCTTTTAGTCTTACTGAAAAGAGAGAGTTTCTCCATTTTCTTCTATGTGTTAAAGACTCTTTGACACTTGCATCTACTTAATTTATTTTAGTACAGATATATATGTCATAATGGACAAAAAATATTGGCAGAAGATTTCACCTTGAGGGAATTGCTGCTTTATCTGGGTTATGTCATCTCTAGGATAACTAATCCAAAAAAAAAGGGGTATGTTTGATCTATCTTGCGCTAAAATACTCCAAAACATGTTTAGGGATGGAATGTATTGGTAGAGATTCATGAGCTGAAACAGAACATTGAATTGCCCAGTAGTGGATGCTAGTAGTGAAATGTTTTCAGCAAAAATTAACTGGTGCTCCATAGGAGCACTTCACACAATTTTTTATGCATTCAAAGTGAAAAATCAGAGTGTAGCACTTAGATTTGAGTCTTTACAGGCACTTTTTATGGTTGAGTACTTCCTTGCCCTTTTTGAAAAACATTTAACCTGATCTATACTAACAACATTACCCTTTTCATGTTTACGGGACTTCAGAACACACTCTACATATGATCACACATAAATCCTTGCCCTCTTTTTCAATTAATTAGAACTTTTTTGTCCAGAAAAAATGTAAGACCTTAAAAAGGGTGAATAAGTCTTCTCTTATTGCTTGGTTTCATGTTATAGGGCTGACAATCCTACTTTCGTACATCAGACACTGTTAAATGGTTATGAAGAAATATTTAGTGGTAAACTGCTCTTGTATCGTGCTTCAAGTGAACATTTTATCTCCTACAAAATTGGGACAAAGTGGTTACAGGAAGAAAAAAAGAATGGAAATCTGCATGAATAAATAGCAAAATCAGTACTAAATATATTATTAAGTAGTCTAATAATTATTAGTTTGATAGCTGAGAAAAAGTCAGATGAACTAATGTATGTGATTACAGCAGGATAAAAAAATAATCCAATAGCAGCATCCAACTAGGGGAAACAATAAACTAAAACTTTAAGCATGTTATTAAGATACACAGTGCCCACAGCAAGAGAACAGGACTCGCAACACTAATTGCTGGTGTCTAGACCATAATTTGTTTTTCAGTCCTTACAAGTTTAATCCATCCAAAAAAAGAAAATTGTATATTAATGACAGGTTTAATAAAACTGGTATGGAATCAGTCCCAAACATGTTTAGATTCACAGCTTCAGCTAATTTTGCCTCATGTAAACAAAAAGGGAACATGTCAGTTTAGTTCAAACCACTGGAAGCTGTGGATTTTGTTTTGTCATTACACCATCAGTGCTGATGCAGTCCTTAAATGGAGTATAAGTTCAATTCACACCCATTTAAAGTATCTCCAGGTCTACTTCAGTGCTTTTATCCCTTTAATAAATGGTAGAACTCAAATCCAGATATTCACTGCAATAAAAGTTACACATTCCTACTTGAAGGAAAAATTGGGAAATTCTCATCCCCCCTTAAATTCAGTGCAACTTCTATGCAAGTGGGAAGGATTCACACTGAATTTAAATGTTGGCAAGGAGCACAGTCTCTCCCTTGGCTGTATGGTCATATATTCAGAACATAGTAATGAGAGCTAAAATGGCTGAAGAAACAAGTTCCTGGCACCTTTATGCAAACTTAGACGTGGAAAGGGGTTAAGTAAATGATCGTGCTCTACACTACAGGGAGTATTGTTTAATGGGCTAATCAATAACATTGGAAAGCACAAAACTTGCAGTTTGTTTTTGTTCCTGTGTACTTATTCGTATTTCAATTGACTTAGTGGTCTTTTCCAGCCAATGTTGAGCATGATAAATCACAAACCATTCCTTTGTAATATATCAGTCTGAAGTACTTGCTTCCTCAGTTTCTAATAGATAAAACAGCCTCCTGTGAATTTCAGGTGAAGAGACAGCTAACATCCTTTCTGTAGGATGGTGGTACTTTGACAGTCTTTTTCAATACTGGATTTTCATTAACAATCTACCTGAAGGCATAGGGAATAAACCACTGTGCCTTTTCATGTTTACAAAATTTTGCTGTATTATTTTAAAGCAATAATGATAATTAGTTTCTTCTTATATTAGCAATCATTAAAAAGTTTTTATAATTTTGTTCTAAGATAGTCAAGTTGGTTCAAATTACAGACAACAACAATGTAAAATTCTTCTAAAAGGTCCATAATTCTGACTTATTTTATACAGAAATGTTTATAATGTTTTTATATGTAAAGCTAATTCACTTAGAAACTCCTGCAAATCTTTTTTTCTGAACTCTAAATATGTCCTTCTTTGGCTTTCCCAACTTATTTTTTTTTTAACACCTATAATAAGTTATTCCCTCTGATCCAGTAAAGTTAGAATAAAAAATTGTCTGACTGTGACAAAGTCATTATTCATCATTCCACAAATTTTTAGGTCATCTTCAAATACATCATCCTTATATGCAAAAAAATCCCTTACAGAGCTCTCGGTACTTCATGAACATGTGGTATGGAGTTACAGAAGCTGTTTGAAGAGTTTTTTTCTCTTCAGTAATTGATAGGTAGCCCACTGTTACAATCTTGGGAGCCTAATAATTTCTCTAATAAATATTAACAATTATATCTGTGAGCTTGTTTAATGTAGTTTTGGGTGTGAAAGTAATAAATAAATAATATCAAATGATAAGATTAATTCTACCTTAAATATTTTATGACAGGCTTACGTCTCAGTGAGTTGCAACAACAGTTCAACTTCTGTCAAAAATACTAATTTTTTTTCAAGCCAAAAGATCATATGACTCATTGGGATTGAAGAAGTCATGCCCATTTCCTTTATCACTATCCAGAGGTGTAATAGCTTTTAAGCTGAAAATTTCCTATAGATCCTGAAAATACCGTTTCAAATAACAGTTTCACGTAATAGTTTTTATTAAACTGTAAAATAATAAAAAAAAAAGATTCAATCAACAGGAAATAAGATCAACCCTACTTTGTTATTTATTAATATTTGTTAAGGACATACTGTAGTCTTGAATAATACAGTTCTCTTCTACAAATTGTTGATATAATATGGCAACAAATAATGATTTAATTTAATAGCAATATTGGATGCTGTTTTCAATTCCAGTGTTTTATTTTATGTAGATGAGAGCATTTCATTATGCATATGTCAGCTTCATATTATTCATATCATTATCAGTCATTTTATGGCTAAATATTCTTCCTGTTTTCATTTCCCATTTGGTTCCATTTAGTGTTGGTAAAGGTAAGTTTGTACTAGAAGTCCATAGGGCTCAGAAATCTGATTAATTCTTCAGAATCTTAACTCAAGAAGTAACCAGAGAAGATAAGTCTTGATCAGTAACTTACTGAATATACTTCATAATTTCTAACATCTTCTCAAGATAGATAACTAAGAAGGCTAGAAGAATCACACTTACTTTGACACCCTGGTAATGTGTGTTTTACATGCTGAAACTTCTGTTTTTAAAATATTTAAGTTTTGTACTTAATTACTTAATTACTGCTCATTCCTTTCACCTTTATATACATATATAATTATAATTTATTTTTTTTTATGTGTATTAATGGATACTAGTTTGCTCTGGAACAATTAGAACTTTTGCAATTAGAAATAACACAATAATTTGCATAGTATAAAAAAAAGGCATCCCTCTTAAAATCACTGTCTTTGTTTGCCAATTCACGTACAGGCCTATACTGTATATACTGTACTTCCTATAGTGCTCCTGTGATTCGTAGTTTATATTGACATAAGTTCAATTAAGTGTAAATCTAGATTTCCACCAGACAGGATAGAATTCCTCTCATCGTACCATTTGCACAGTAATTTTGCTTGGATTCAGGAAAGAAAAAAAATTCCTAAAATCCTGTCAGTTTTTATAAGATCCATGACTCAGTGTTTTAAGTGACTTCATTGCTGCAACAGAAGTATGAATGGTTTCATGTGTAGCAGGAAAATAAAAATGCATTACCTGAGAATTCCCTGACACTTCACTAATTCTATGTGAGGAAATTTAAAACACGCTTTAGAAAGACTGAACATTTTTTGTTACAAAAGATCCCAAAACATCAAAAACATTATTTATGGTTTTTTTGAAATAAATAGTTAGATATTCAACAGACAAATATAGTTGGTTATAAATTATTTTATATACTTTTCATAAAATTACTGATTTGGAAATGTCAATACGTTTGTAGGATATATTGTTTGCCCTCCCCTCTACTTCAGACTTTGAGTATGTCCTCCCTTCCAGATTCTTGTTACAACATTGTTACACAATATTGTCCTGTAATCAAAGATTGCTGCACTTTATCCATCTCAGTGTCCTTTGATCTCCAAAATAAGATTCTTTCTACATAATATGCACTTCACTGTAATAAATAAATTGCCTACTCTCAAGAGGAGCCACAAAGTAGAAATAACTACTTCTGGAATTAATGGAGGGCCTTGCAGAATAAATAGCAAGTTGTCATGACACTGAATTTCAGTTTACTGCACTGACATAAGTGTTGTTAAATTTTTTTTCAATAATGCTGTTTAGTTTGACTTAAAAATAAAATGTAAAAAAATATTTATAAATATGTTTTCTTTCAATATTAAGCTACAAACCATCTTTCACTGTGGATCTTGCTCTTGTAAAAACATGTTGTCCTACATTGCCCTGCAGACTATTTAATAATCAAGCTTCAGTTACAGTCTATAAATGTTTCTAAGCAACCACAACCCACTTTAAATATGCTAGTCAATTAGGTCTAGACACCCTCTTTCACTGTTTGTCTCTATTATTTCTTTCTGGCTTGAAACATAACAGACAGAGAGATAGAGGGAATATTTTAAAGTAATACCTTGTACTGATCAAGGGTGATGCTGTTAAGTAGCACCTCTGCAGATAAACGGAGACCTCAGGCAGCCCCCGTCCAAGAGCACAGTGATATGTGTGCCCATCAATCCCTTATCAACACATAAGCCAGAAAGAACAGAAACTTATCTGGCTAATGCCAATATGGAAAATAAAAATAAAAATAAAGATAGGTGTTGGTGACTGTGGGAATAATAGCTTCTCCCATGTTATCCAGCGTTTTCATTCTGTTTTTTTTAATATTTACTTCTTTCCACATAAGAAAGAAAAATGTATGAAAAAAGGTTTCCTGATAAAAAAAAACCCCAACGATTTTTAGATAGTTTTAAGAGAAGACTTTAAATTGTGTTTTTCTATTCAGAAATGTAATATCAGTTGAATTTTGAACACAGAGGTATGTCTTAGTTAAATTGTTTGATCATGTTAATCTGTTATCTTCATTTTTATCTTACCATAATCATAAATTCCAGTTTTTTCCTAGAAGCACTATAGCATTTCTTACTTGGTATGTTCAGCTTGCCTTATTATCTGTACTGCTTTCCACGCTGTATTATTGTCTTTAAATGTATTAGTGAGGAATATCTGAAGAAAATTCTGGCTTAATTTCACTAAGTCTCTTATGGTTTAGACTAGCTCCCTCCACTGAGGCTGGTACAAAACATAGTTTGTATTTGCTGTGATTATGCAATATGATTTACATAAGCAAAGATGAATTCTGCAGGAACTTCATACCTAACAACAAGTTTTTTTCTGGACTTCTGGTCACTGTCATTTATCACAAGATTGAGAGTGAAATAAAGCATAAAATTCTATAAAAAACAGAGACTAGAGAGAGGCTAAGGTATGTGTCTGGTAACTTATTTAACTCCCTAGCTATATTTTTGTGTTGCTTTCCCAATTGGTATCATATTCTGTAAGCATTACCATAAAAGCAATAATGGTCAAAGATCTTTATAATACAAGAGCTCCCCTGCGGTATCAAGTAGCTAATAAAGGAAAATTTTGGACATGTAAGAACAGCACAAATACACAGTATTACTGCCTTTGGGCATGTATCCACATGACTGCTCCTCAGGGAGTTTCTGAAGCTAGAGGGATTATCAATGTATTTACAGCTTTATGGGATTTTTCTTCCATGAGCCTATTGCATATTTTGAATCCCAAATAAATTTTTGCAAGAAGTTTCAGATTTTCTTTATAAGCTGCATTTATTCTGGACTTCACTTCCATTTTCAGACTATAGTTTTAGTACTGGAAAAAAAAATATGAATGATTGGGTTCCTCTTTTCCTCTTTACACCCCTGATATTAGGACTGCTTTTCTCAATGAGTATAAATTCACATTTCCTGCATGCTGAATTTCACCTATTATTCATTCACAGGATCATCTTAGGATTCTTCCATATTTCCCCACAAATAATTCTTTTTTCTCTAAGTAGCTTAATAACCCCAGGCAAATATATAGTATTATTCCCACTAACTTTTTTAGCTTTTCTGTCACAGTTTTAAACTTAATAGGTTAAGGTGTGAAACTTGAAGATTACCCATGATTACAGAAATAGTTGAGCTTTTATAAGTGTGACCAACACCCCCAAGATTCCTATACATTATCATAGATATATTTTATAGTACATAGAATGTGTTACAAATTTCCAAACTTCCTATACACATACAAAATAATCACAAATTTTCTGTGATACTTTATTTGTCATAAATAATTTCTCACTAGGGACTGATCTACTTCAGTTAATACCCCACCTTACACATTGAAAATACATAGGTTGGGTCATATGTACCTATCAAACATATTACCTTATACAAAGTATGTAGAAAGAGTATAAAAAGTTGGGCACCTCTTTTTTCATATAGCTATAGCTTGCAGAATATTTACAAGTATCAATGTATATCTTTCCAGTCTTACTCAGCCTTTGTAGGTAAATGTTAGTCATGGTACAAAGGCTAGTGTGAGACAGTACACAAAAAAAGGCTAGAAGTGCTCAGTACCCTTTGTAGTTGCTGCTGCTAATCATTCATTGTATTCACTAAATTTCAATTTCATTCATTGCACAATTTAGCAATTATGCTGTAGCAACCAGACTTTTTCTCCAAAACTGCAAAATCTGAACTATGATCTTACTCCTGCACCTTAGGAGGTATCTATGCATTTATTACATAGTCTACTGGTTCAAGCATTATGTTCTGTTTCCTGACTAGGAGAAATTTGAATTTCAAACAAGGATACACTTTCCAAGATTTAATAAATATTGCTAATTAGAAAGATATTTGTGGTTTATATGAAATTCAAACCAAAAGAATTTGTAGGCCTTGCAGGAAAAAGACTATGAAGACTTAGAAAGAGAGTAGATGTGAAATCTTACTTTGAACCTTTGTAGATTTTTCTGCTGTCCACTGAATTTCTCACCTAAGGAAAAAAAGGCAAAAAAACTTTGTGAAATGAATAATAAATTATGTAGTTAGAGAATTACACTACAATTTGTCACAAGCAGTTTTTATTTTTTATTTTTAGTTTTGAATCCAAGCAAGAACATTCTGTACATTGAGTACTTATCTCTAATAGGAATAGAGTTAAACAACTAAAAAGTACATTAGGTTTCATTCTATATATCAGTAAATCCATATAATACAAAAGTCAAATTAATTATCCTTCAAATTATGACTTACAAAAGCATAAACTCAGTCTTCTTCTGTGCATTGAAATGGATACCCAGTTTCATTGTGGGAAGAAAAATAGAAATAGACTTTATAGAATTACGCACTGTATTTAGATTTTTGCATGCAATCAGTGTTTTCAATTTCAAATTAAGAAAATGAAAACACAAGCACCCAATTCAATACCTAGCTAATGTGATGAAAAAACTTACAGGCACTCATTTTAAGGGGTCTAATGGCAGCTCTCAAAGGGAATTTCCTCTCAAAAGGTGCTGCACTTTTCTATTAAGCAGAAATATTTGTTTCCAAGGGATATACCGATGACAGAGGATTTGTCAAGTTCAAGACAGTGGCAGAATGTCTTCACCCTAAATTTGTGCTCTGAAGTGTAACCAAAGATTTTGAAACCAGTATTCTAATGCTAATTTAAATGAAAAACAATCGTAGAACCGTTATTTACAATGGAGAAATAGAAAAGGATTTTTATGTGGTTTAGGAATGGTACTGCCCAATTCAGTGTCCCCACCTAGACTCTACCAAACCAGATGACACGTGCTTCTTCCTGCTCTCCCCTCCCACTTCCTGCTCCAGCTTGGAGTAGAGAATTTGAGTCACTAAAAGTGAAGATCATTGGTTGAGATAAGAGCAGTTTACTAGAAACCGCAGTGAGATAAAACAGAGGGCAACAACAATGATACTAATAAGTATACAAGAGAGGGTGATTCACATGCAAAAATGATGGACCTAAAGACAATGAACAATGGCAGATGATGCCACCACAGTGGTTTTTGGCAGGAAGCCACACCATTCTTTTTGGAAGCTAGAGAGAGTCCCTTCTCCCCCTGAATGGTCCTGGCAAAGCTAGGACAATAGGTTTGCAAATAGCACAGGCAGGGTCTTCTGTTACTTAGAAAATTTTTCCTTGGTTATATTTTCCACAGCAGAGGATTTACTCATCCTCAATTTTCTACCAACATTTTCATTGTTTTCTTAGTCAATCATAAAAGAATCTGGGGTAGAGAGAACTGTTACTTTAACAGCGATTTTGCTGAACACACTTCTGAAGCAACCAAATTCTTTGAACAACTTATCTATTTCATGTATTTTACATAGAAACCAGCAGACATAGTTTCCCTTGGGAAACACACACATATTTCAGATTCTAGAAATTATAAGAACCTGGTCAGTGTATGTCAAAACCTGTGGAGAGAAGTGAAATTGACACGTGTTCTTACAGAAGGCCTCTTTATGTCTACCACAAGGCAGTCAGGTCTTCCTGCCTTCCCTAGCTACCCCTGCTCTCCCATTTTACAGGAATGGAGGATGGGCTGTCATCCAGAGGTGTCATCCTCCTGGACCTTGTGTTGGAATCTTGCCCATAGCTGGGAAGCAGAGGGTAGATCCTCTGTGCACCAAGTTGACTTATCCTGTATTGTGGCTACACTGCTGGCCAAAGAAGAAGAATGAGCAGAGGAAATATGGCTAAAACTCATTTTCATTCAGCTTACAGGACTGCAGCAGGAGACACAAAAATGGAAGGGAGGTAATTCAAATCTGAGCATTTGTTCTCTGTGCAGCAGATGCCTCAGGGCGCAAGAGGAGACACTGCAACAATCACAATCAACACATTTTTTGTTCTGTTTTTCCCTTTGTACTTTTCCATTTTGATGGAGGCTTCTATGCCAGGCCAGGCTCAACAGAACAGCGTCCCTGTTTGTTCATTTTAATCTGGCCTTGAATCTTGCTCTGGTTCACAGATCCTGAAGATAATCTGATTTTATGTCTCCTCAGTACTTTTACTGTATTTTTGAAGACACCCAAGGGAACAATAATGTAAACTGCTACTAAGAATTTATTATGATATATTTTATTCTCTTATACTTGTGGTTTTTTGTGGGTTTTTTTGGGTTTTTTTTTCATTTTGTGAAAGGGCACTGGGAGGTGCCCTTAAAGACAGAACATGTAAAGGTTGCTCTTCACAAAAATACTGTTTTCCAGAAGGGAAAAAGCTCTCTTGGGAATGGGGAAAGGGTGAATTTTTACAAATGAGAAGAGTAAAAAAGTTAACATCACATCTGAGTAATATATTATTGGTTTTTTTATCTCATTCATTGTATATCAAGAAGCATGTCAGCATGACGCTGGATTTCAATGCAGTTTCTACCCTCTTGCCACATGCTTCCAGGTGCTTTGTAGCAAAATGTATAATAAACAGTAGTTCCCATTTAGAGCTAAAGGAGTGGGTTTTACTCTAGGTGCTCAGTAATTTCAACAAAAGAGGCAAAAACGTCAACCCTCCAAATACCTCCTTCCCCCTAACCTAAAGGGAAAATTTTGAAAATACTTAGATGAATGAATAATTTTTCACATGTGAATAGTCAAAGTGAAGTTCTACTGACAGGGTAAAAGACATCAATTATACATGATTTAGCTCCTTCAGTAAGCATTGAATGCAAGTGACCAACTGAGTGTTAAATATATTGTGCAAAGGAATGTCACTGTGCTCTAAGGCAATTTAGGACATGTATTTCCAAAAACATAACAATAAATAAAGCAAGTATATTTAAAAAAGAGTTCAGAAGAAAGGCATATTTTTAGAAAAGTAAATTACATATGCTGCCATTGACTAAATAAAGTATCTGGTGCACAAACAATGGGTACAACCTTTATTATACTTGAGAGATAAAATGTAATTAAGATGAATGAAAAATTGTTGATCTGCTACTGGAAAGGTTTCTGTTTCACGTGTAAGAATATATTAAAAGCATCAGATCATATCTTCCTGGGGATCTCCACTACTGAAGAGATTGGGTTTTCAATTTGCCCTTCATATGTCAATCTCATAGGAAGTTCTTCCAGTAAATGATATAATGGTTTCTGTTTTTCATTCTTCATTCCTTGCTCTCTCTTCTTCTCATATTTCAGCAATTCCCTTCCCTCTCTCTAGTCAGAAGAACTAACATTTAGAAATTATTTGTTGGCTTTAGAGCAGACTGGTGTTTCCACTACTTTCCTTTTAAATTTTTTTTTAAAGTTATTATTTTATTTTATTTCTTTTTCTTTTTCCTTTTTTTAAAGCCAGACACTATCTTCAATATCAAGATACCTGTCCTCTTTTACAGACCTAGTAACCCATTTTTCTTTCTCCATCTTTCAACGAGAATCTTTCACAGAAAATCCAATATTCAAAAAATTTGACTGAATATTTATTATTTTTATTATATTTATAAATGAAAAAGTCTAAATATGCTGTTTCTGTTCAAGCCACAACTTACCCAGAAGCACTGCACCAAAGTCTACTGTCTAGTGCCAGTATTAGTTTCAGCAGTTACAGCTACTTTCGGTGGTATTGCACCTTTTACTTGTTGGTCTACTTATCAGTAAAATGTTTTGTCTGATACAAAAGTAAGAACTGTAGGATTATATTTTTATTTTTCATAATAGGTATTAATTAGGTTATCAAGCAACTGACTTTTTTCTTTCTGCAGAAGAAACAGCTTACTTAATGCAAATGCACAATTACACTGAGGGCTAGTACAAGATAAATGCACCACACATTTAGAACACAGTTTAGAACATAGTCTTTTTCAACAGTGATGCTATGAAACATTTATGAACACTGAAGTCTATACACATCAGCAAGCCTGCTAAAATTGAAAAGAGCTCCTTACTCATGCAAAAATAAGCAGATGCTTAAGTGTTTGCAGGAACAAATTTTAATTTCTCTACATGGGTATTGTACAGATCCTCTGCACAGGGATGAACTTCAGTCAATAAAATGATTAACAATAGTAACACACACTGTGGGGAAGTGTATCCACTCCAGAAAAATTAATTTAAGTACTGTTAGTTGGGGTCTGATCGGTGACATGTAAAACCTTGAATCTCTTGAGACATACTGCATTATAGAACAATGTCTGCAAGTATTTTACAGCAATGACTTGTTTTTTTCTCTTGTGTAGGGCATGTCAAGACTTTTCCACCTGATGAAAGGTTACTATTTTGGTTTATTTCCTCCCAAAAATGTATTGCCCATGTTTTCAATTTAAAAATATGTTTACAGTTAGCTCTGTTTACCTTTACATTTTCTTATTGTGCTATTTTCTGTGATTAATTTCCAGTGTTTTGATCGTCCCCAAGTCTGGCTATTAGAAGAGAAATCTCAGAACTATTTTTGAACACCCTCTTCTAATTTTCAAAATTACTTGTAACCGAAGACACATACATAAATAAATCTCTGTATCCTGATTTAGTAATCTATCTTGACATCTTTACATCACCATATTCATGATATCAGCATTTCAGTATTTCATCTTGACTTTGCAAACACATAAAATGCTTTTAAAAATCTGAATTACAATATTCACCATTCTTTCATTAATGTTGAGAAGTCCAAATTTACTGAATGCAATAGAAGAATTTTTCTGAGCCCCAAGATGTGGTTTGACTCAGTCCCCTGACAAGCACCAGAAATTAATTTAAAGTAAGATTTTTATTTCATACCAATTCCAGAAACCCCTGTATAAATAGTAGCTTTACAATTGTTCCATTATGAAAGCCTGAACTCCTTGTACCTGTTTTTCCCAAAGGGAATAGACTGGTCAATCATCCAATACAATTTCTTTCTAATATTTTTTTCAAAGATAAATTAATCACGTTACATTTTTAACGCGACCTCTCATTTCTGTAAGTGGTGCTTGAACTTCTCTGCCATTTTATAGCACTTGCCGTTTTTTCTATTTCTTTCGATAA